GGTGATCCAACCGAATGCAGAGATTATCAAACAGTATCATTAACATCACACACAAGTAAAATTTTTCTCAAAATCATTCAAAAGTGGCTGTAGCAGTACGTAGATAGGGAACTGCCAGAAGTTCAAGCCAGATTCAGAAGAGGACGTTGAACCAGTGATATCACTGCTGATGTCAGATGGATCCTGGCTGAAAGCAGAGAATACCAGAAAGATGTTTACCTGTGTTTTATTGACTATGCAAAGGCATTCGACTGTGTGAGTCATAACAAATTATGGATAACGTTGCAAAGAATGGAAATTCCAGAACACTTAATTGTGCTCATGAGGAACCTGTACATAGATCAAGAGAGTCATTGGTACAGAACAAGGGGATACTACACGGTTTAAAGTCAGGAAAAGGGTGTATCAGGTAGTATCCTTTCACCATACTTATTCAATCTGTACGCTGAGCAAATAATCCATGAAGTTGGACTATAGGAAGAAGAACAGGGCATCAGGATTGGAGGAAGACTCATTAACAACCTGCTATATGCAGATGACACAACCTTGCTTGCTGAAAGTGAAGAGGACTTGAAGCACTTACTGATGAAGATGGAAGACCACAGCCTTCAGTATGGATTACACCTCAACATAAAAGAAAACAAAAATCCTCACAACTGGACCAATAAGCAACATCTTGATAAATGGAGAAAATACTGAAGTTGTCAAGGATTTCATTTTACTTGGATCCACAATCAATGCCCATGGAAGTACCAGTCAAGAAATCAAAAGACGCGTTGCACTGGGCAAATCTGCTGCAAAAGACCATAGCCCTCAGCCCAGTAATTCAGTCCCTCAGGGAGGTTGGATGTGTCTCCGGAGCTTCCATGACCTTGCTTTGTACAAGTTGTGCGGCTTCCCCAGTATTGTGTGCTGTCTCACCCTTCACCAGAGTTACCATTTATGTATTGTCTATGTAGTGTATTTCCATCCCCACCCCTCCTCTCAATTGTAACCATCAAAGATTATTTCTTTTTGTGTGTAAACCTTTTCATGAGTTTTTATAGTGGTGGTCTCATACAATATTTGTCCTTTTGTGATTGACTTATTTCACTCAGGATAATGCCTTCCAGATTCATCCATGTTGTAAGATGCTTCACAGATTCATCACTGTTCTTTATCGTTGCATAGTACTCCATTGTGTGCATGTACCATAGTTTGTTTATCCATTCACCTGTTGATGGGCATCTAGGTTGTTTCCATTTTTTTGTTATTGTGAAAATGCTGCAGTGAACATGGATGTGCATATGTCTCTTCATGTGACAACTATTATTTCTCTAAGATGTATTCCTAGGAGTGGGATTGCTGGATCATATGGTATTTCTATTCCTAGGTTTCTAAGGAAGCACCATATTGTTTTTCAAAATGGTTGTAACATTTTGCATTCCCACCAGCAGTGCATAAGAGTTCCAATCTCCCTGTAGCCTCTCCAACATTTGTTATTTTCTGTTGTTTTGATTTGTGCCAGTAATGTTGGCGTGAGATGGTATCTCATTGTGCTTTTCATTTGCATTTCTCTAATGGCTAGTAATCTTGAGCATTTCTTCATGTGTCTGTTGGCTGCTTGAATGTCTGTTCATTTCCTTTGCCCATTTTTTAATTGGATTATTGTCTTTTTGTTGTAGAGGTGTTGGCTTTTCCTGTAGATTTTAGAGATTAGACCTTTGTCTGATTTGTAATAGCCAAAATTCTTTTCCCAGTCTGTAGGTTCTCTTTTTACTCTTTTGGTGAAGTCTTTTGATGTGTGTAAGTATTTAATGTTTAGAAAATCCCAGTTATCTAGCTTATCTTCTGGAGTTTGTGTGTTGTTAGTTATGGTTTGCAGCCTGTTAATGCCGTGTATTAGGGCCTCTAGTGTTTATCCTATTGTCTCTTCTATGATCTGTATAGTTTTGGCTTTATATTTAGGTCTTTGATCAATTTTGAATTAGTTTTTTGTGTATGGTGTGAGTTATGGGTCCTGTTTCATTTTTTTGCAGATGGACATCCAGTTTTGCCAGCACCATTTGTTAAAAAGACTGTCTTTTCCCCCATTTGATGCACTTTGGGTCCTTGTTGAAGATCAGGTGATCATAGGTGGATGGATTTACATCTGGGTTCTCAATTCTGTTCCATTGGTCAATGTATCTGTCCTTGCACCGGTACCAGGCTGTTTTGACTACTGTAGCTGTATAGTAGGTTCGGAGGTCAGGTAGTGCGAGTCCTCCTACTTATTTTTCTTCAATAGTGCTTTACTTTTCTGGGGCTTCTTCCCTTTCCATATAAAGTTAATGATTAGTTTTTCCATCTCTTAAAGAATGTTGTTGGTATTTGGACCGGGATTGCATTGTATTTGTAAACTGCTTTGGGTAGAATTGTCATTTTCACAATGTTGAGGCTACCTATCCATGAGCATAGTATGTGTTTCCATTTATGTAGATCTCTTTTAGTTTCTTGCAGCAGTGTTTCGTAGTTTTCTTTGTATGGGTCTTTTACATCCCTGGTTATTTTTTATGTCTAAGTATTTTATTTTTTAAGGGACTATTGTAAACGGTATTGTTTTCCTGATTTCCTTTTCATCGTTCTCTTTATTGGTATATAGGAATCCAACTGATTTTTGTATGTTTATCTTATATTTTGCTACTCTGCTAAATCTTTCTATTAGCTCCAGTAATTTTCTCTTGGAGTCTTTTGGGTTTTCTATGTATAGTATCATATCATCCACAAATAGGGACAGTGTTAATTCATTACCAATTTGGATGCCATTTGTTTCTTTTTCTTGCCTTATTTCTCTAGCTAGGACTTCCAGCACAATGTTGAATAAGAGTGGTGATAAAGCCATCCTTGTCTTGTTCCTGTTCTCATGGGGAATGTTTTCAGCCTCTCTCCATTAAAAATGATGTTGGCTGTTGGTTTTGTATAGATGCCCTTTATTATGTTGAGGAATTTCCCTTCTATACCTATTTTATTGAGAGTTTTTTATCAGGAATAGGTGTTGTTTTTGTCGAATGTCTTCTCTGCATCGATTGAGATGATTATGTGATTATTTTATTCATGTGGTGGATTACGTTGATTGATTTTCTAATGTTGAACCATCCTTGCATACCTGGTATGAATTCTGCTTGGTTGTGGAGTATTATTTTTTTGATATGCTGCTGAATTCTATTTGCTAGAATTTTGTTGAAAATTTTTGCATCTATATTCATGAGAGATATTGGTCTGTAATTTTCTTTTTTTGTGGTGTGTTTGCCTGGTTTTGATATCAGGGTTATGCTGGCTTCAGAAGTGTCACTTCCTTTTCTGTGTTCTGAAATAGTTTGAGTAGTACTAGTGTAAGCTCTTCTCTGAATGTTTGGTAGAATTCTCCAGCGAAGCCAGCTGGGCCTGGCTATTTTTTTGTTGGGAGTTTTTATAAATTACATTTTCAGTCTCTTCTTTTGTTATAGAGCTGTTCAGATTTTCAACATCATTTTGTGTTAGTTTGGGTAGATAGTGTGTTCTAGAAATTTGTCCATTTCCTCCAGGTTTTCAAATTTGTTGGAGTATAGTTTTTCATAATACTGTTATGATCCTTTTTATTTCAGTTGGGTCCGTTGTAATGTCCCCCATTTCATTTCTGATTTGGGTTATCTGTGTCCTCTCCTATCTTTCTTTTGTCAATTTTGCTCTTTCTGTTGGTAATTTCTACCTTGATGACGTTGTGGCCAGAGAGGATACTTTGTAGTATCTCAATGTTTTGGATTTTGTTGAGGGTTGCTCTGTGGCCTAATATGTGGTCTATTCTGGAAATGTGTACTTTGCAGCTGTTGGGTGGCGTGTTCTATGTATGTGAGATGAAGTTCACTGATTGTGCCCTTTAGCTCTTCTGTATCTTTTTTTTTTCTAGATGTTCTGTCCTTTACTGAGTGGTGTGTTCAAGTCTCCTATTATTATTGGGGAACTGTCAATTTCTCTTTTCAGGGCAGTTAGACTTTTATGGGTTTTGGAGCCCTGTCTTTGGGTGCGTAGATATTACGGTTTTGTCTTCATGACTGATCATCCCTTTAATCATTATATAGAGCCCTTGTTTGTCTTTTATGGTGGTTTTTGTTTTAAAGTCTCAGATTGTGATTTTTAATTTGAATATCATAAAACGACACTTTATTATCAATAACCACTACCACTTGCGTTATGTAAGTCATTTTGTACCTAAATACAACAAGAATATAATTATAAAAGTTTTGCTAGCTATCTTTCCTTAAGTTCTGAGCTTGAGGTGTATTCTTTTTTTAACAGGGAGATCAAAAGATAGCACAAAATTGAGACATTCTGTTTCACTTAAATCAGAAGTGCCAAAGAACTGGGAAGTACTTCCTCACTATATGATCTAATGTCATTTAGTGCTGTGTCCAGCTTCTACCCAAAATTTCTTTTATAGGTTATAATGAAAATCAGCTGCTGAGATTTTAACAGTCCCACAAAGGGATGAGAGCTTGTCGAAGATTTACCTTTTATCTTTTACATCATTTTCTCATTCATCAATGTTATTATTCATGTAGAAAAATTTCAGAGTTGTAATCAGGGATGAATACACCTGTGTTCCCTTACATTAAATTATGGGAGAAAGTGGCTGGTACGCACGTAGCCATAGCACATAAACTGGTATAAAACTGAATTTTTAGGTCTAGGCAGAAGATGGAAAAAAGCAGAGCAAAGTCCACTTTACCAAACCAGATATATCTAACTGATGTAAAAATCAATTTGATGCCACCTATATTCAAAAGCCCTGGTGGTGTAGTGGTTAAGAACTTGGCTGCTAACCAAAGGGTCAGCAGTTCAAATCCACCAGCCGCTCCTTGGAAACCCTATGGGGCAATTCTACTCTGTCCTGTAGGGTTGCTATGCTTACCTGACTGCACCTAACAACAACATATTCAAAAGAGGAGCCCCGGTGGCACAGCGGTTAAGAGCTCAGCTGATAACCAGAAGGTCAGCAGTTTGAAACCACCAGCTGCTCCTTGGAAACCCTATGGGGCAGTTCTACTCTGCCCTATAGGGTTGCTAAGTCAAAATCAGCTAGACAGCAATGAGTTATATTAAAAAAGAATTAGCTTCTTTTTATAATATGTATAAAGGGGAAAGCCTCTAAAACATGCTTTTTCTGTACAATTGATGAAATTAAATGTTTATTTTCCCTAGTAATTTAAAAAATTTGGTAACTCACGTGCTTAGTTTTTTTTATTAATTTCCGTATTCTCAGAGCCATAGTAATTAGGCACCACAGGTTAATGTCAAGCTCCAAAATGAAGATTAAAATGCTTATTTTATACTTGTAATAAAATATTTAATTTCTTCAGCAACATCTAATCTTTTCCTTATTCAATTTTTTTTCATGTTATGGGTCAGGTGCTTCTTCTCAAAAGTTTGTACTTTCAAATTTATCCTGTATCTCATTTTGCTGCCTTTGCTAAATAGTTTTTAAAAAGGACTATTCTTTGTTGGTTTTTATTTAGTGATGTATTCCATTAACCAAAAATAGAGCTTACACGGTATCTTTACCTTTCATGCTAAATTTGGCGTGAACAAGAAAATAAAAAAAAGCAGCCCTGATCATATTGTACAGCAATGAAAAAGAATGAGTCAGATGTGTATCTGACCCAGAAGGCTGTAAGTGATCTACTATTAAGTGAAAAAGCAAGTTGTAGTGTGATGTGTTATAATGATTATAATAATATTAAGAAATGATCCTCTCCTTAATGAGTATATACTTTAAAAATGAGCAGGATGGACGATGAAGAAGGATACACATTAGGCTGTTAACTTTGGTTACATCTTGGTTGTTAGTGTCACTGGGGAGAGTGGAGAATAGAAATGAGAGCAGACAATTGGTGTAAAAAGATTTTTTCTTGATATAATTTATATTGCTTTATCTTTGCAACAATATTTAAAGAGGATTTAATAAACTGAATTAAAAAATATAATCTGGATAAAGGAGTTTTAAAATGAATAACCTTTTGGAAAGGATCTGAACCTGGGAATGTAGGATAGGAATGCTGTACTATCTTTAAGAGGATATATTTCATGAAGACAAACTGCATCTTAGAGAAGTAATAAATAATCCACAAAGAAAGAGAATGTGAAGATGGTTTCCACCAGAAACACGTAATACCTTAAGACGCTTTTAGGGATGAGAATACAATTATTACACTTTAAAAAACAGTTTCAATTAACAAAAGAGACAAAACTGAACACTATGTAGCCCAAGGAAAACTTTTGACTTACATTAATTAAAAAAAAATATTGTTATGTCAGGGAAGGAGACTAATATTTACCCAAAGACACTTCAGTAAAGCTTTTGGTATTCATGGATTTTATAAAAACAATATGATCAAGGTAACAGAGATATAAAATAATCTTTTATAAAAATTGACTTTCTTCTTGAAAAATACTTATTTATAAGCTTTTATTTTGAAATAAATTTGAATAAGGTAATCTAGAAATCCCAAGTACTTCTGGGTAAGGCTGAAGACCCATTTGCTTGTTATCTTTCAATTTTTGTACTATAACTTTGGCAAATTCTTCTCCTTGGATGTCAGAGGTGTCTAATAATTGTCTGACTTTTGAGGTCCTTGTAGGTTTGGTACTAACAAGTTCATAGTCCTCCTTCATAATCAAATCCCTGGAGAGAAGGGCATCCAGTGATTGGTTAAGGCAGGCTTCAGTCATCTGGCTGACAATGTCTTCCCTTTTACTCTGGATCCACTGCTGGGCTACACCAGGCTGCAGACGCTCTATGAAAGAGCAAGGGATGAACAATTAAAAAGGTGAGGGAAGATACATAGCAATGAGTGATAAATACATGAAAAAGAAATAATAAGACATAAAACCTAATTTTCCTATAATTCTGCTACTACAGAATAATGGTACTTTTGGGACTGTTACTAATTTTCAAAAAACATTCAGAGATTTGGGTTATCTCCTCACCCTCCCCTATCTCCGTGAAAAAGTACTGCTTTTGTATGCGCTACAGATCAGGGGGCAAAAATCACTTTATTATCTTCAGTTTTGTTTTTCTGTTTTTTAAATATAAAGGATACCTGTATATTTGCTAATTAAAAAAACAACAACAAAATAAACTTCACCTTTAGAAACAAATTAAATAACATCTCCCCTTAGCCCTCCCTCCATAGTCAGACGTTCATGGAATACGTTTTGGGCCTGTTATTACACGTCAGCATTTGTATCTTTTGGGATTGGAAGTGCTTTCCTACTTAAGAATATATGTATTTACCATACTGAGGAAATAAGGACAAATAAAACTTATTGTATGGCAAAATCTGTTGAACACATATTTGGGGAGTAAGCGGCATCACTTAGAAAGCATCTCACGGTAAAGATTTACCTGAATTTCCCTCAATTGAGAGTAGATTTACTATTGTTGAAGAGCACGGGGTGATCTTGTGATCACAGAATTTAGTCCTCTGAACCTCAGAGATGTTACTTTCCCAACTGTGATTCACCGGATGGTGATATAGTATTGAAGAATTATCTTGAGTTTTTCCTATAAAACACAATAATCTTCATTAGGAGTAGAATATTCTTTAGATATCCCTATTAGCTAAAATATCAACATCTGGGTCATATACAGGGTGGGCTCCAATGTCTTTAGTTTTTCACTGCTATAAAAGCTTGTCAGAAACCTAATTCCACAAGTAAATATTTTTAGAACAAAAAAGGCTTTCTACCAATTTTTTTTTATACTTCTGTCTGTCCTATGCAAATTGTAAATCATGGTATTTTACTTCTTCACATATTCCTGTATTTCTTCATCTGTGTCTTCTTCCTCTTTCTGCACTTTCAATGTCTCCTCTCCATCTATGTATGACGTGTGTTTTTCTACATTCTCCTTTGGCAATCCTATTCAACCTCAGGGCCTCAATCATCATCTCTATTTCCAAATCCATGTAATCAAATTTTCTATCTTCCCTGAACCTCAGTCTTAACATTTCCAACACCCCAGTGGATATCACCCCATATGCCTTGCTAGCACCACAAATAAAAAAAAAAAAAAAAATCTTAACCCTAAAATCTGTTTTCTTATTTCTGTTAATAGCACCAATGTTCTCCTAGTCACTGAGGCTTATTAAGAAACATATTCAGCTTCATCTTTTTTTATCTTGTTCCTCCTACAAGTGAAAAGTTATAAAGTTTATCAATGCATACTCCAAAATATCTACCCACCTCTCTTCATGAGGTGGAGTAAGGACGTTTTGGAGGATGTGCTGATAAACTTTGTAACTTTCATAAACTCTGGATTAGCTCTCTCATAATCTCTCCTCTGCATGACAGTAACAGTCTCCTAACTGGTCTCTTCGCCTCTTAAGTCTCTTTTCCTTTCCATCATGTCCTGTATACTCCAACCAGGATGACTCGTCTTAAAGCAGAAAATTCTTATCATGCCACACCCTTTTTCAAAAATTTGCAATAGTTCTTCCCTACCCATGTAAAAAAGTCCAAATAGCTTAGCTAGGTGTTAAAATTCTCAATGGATTCTCCAACCTATCTTTCTAATCTTATTTTCCTCTTTCTTCTTTTATTAACCCTTTAACCAGCTAAACCAAATTGTTCACTGTCTCTGTGCTACTTCTATGCTGTTCCTTTTTCCTGCAATGCCAATCGTTTATATATAAGTCCAACCTTAAGCCAGAAATAATTTCTTCACGATGATAACGTGGTGTAGTGGGATGACATAAGAATCTGTACCAGAAAATCTAGCTTCAAGTCTTAGATCTGCCAGCTACTAGCTCTGTGATCCAGAATCTTCTTAATCTGTAAAATGAGGGATATCTACCTGATAAATGGTTATGAAAATACTTTACAAAGAATGTTACTTTTCCTTTGTACTATCATAGCCCTGTGGCATAGTGGTTAACAGTTCAGCTGCTAACCAAAAGGTCAGCAGTTTAAATCTACCAGCTGCTCCTTGGAAACCCTACGGGGCAGTTCTACTCTGCCCTATAGGGTTCCTATGAGAACCGACTCGATGGCACCTAACACACACATCATAGTTCAACATCGTATCTCTCTTGGTCACACATCACTTCGCATATTGTATTATAGTTACTTAGAAACATTTCTCCTCTTCGTTAGAAGAGATGTTTTTGGTATCTTTTCACAGTATCTAACACATTGCCTTTAATGCTTAACGTATTTGGTGCACATCCTACCACTATCGCCGTATCTTTAGACCCTGTCTCCTTTTGAAAATGAGTTATGAATGCAAATGAAAGACATGCTCCATACAAATCATGACTACTTGCCAACAATATGATATGTAAAGGGAAGAAACAGAAAACTTGCAAGTTAATTCTGACTGAAAAATTTACATACTAGATGAAAAATCACCGTCCTGAGGAGTTGACAGGGACCTTGAGGTTCCAGGAGAACCACTACTTTCATGGAGTTGAGAGGATCCACATGATTCCTAAAGTGAGTGGAGGGTAAAGGATTTAAGGTAATAAAAAAGTTATACAACTTTAATCTCTAAAGAGTTCTTGCCTTTTGGTTTGCTACAAACCAAAATCAAAACTATTACAAATTATATCTTACAAAATTAAGGAAATACATACATAAAATAATCAATAGAGATAAACTTAATATTTTTATCAACTGGGATGGGAAAATGGGACAATAATTAAATACATTAAAAATAATTATTTTTTTCAGTATTTTCTACATGTTCTCAGAGGTTCTGTTCAGTACCTAGAACAGTGAATGTGGAATGTGAACTCTGTAACACTGCTTACTTATTATTGGTTTAGAGCAAATGCTTATTTCTCAGGTTCCTTCAACATGGAAGGATAAGAAACCATGGAAAAAGTCATGGAGGACCTGGCTCCACTCCTGGCTCTGTCAGAATTACCAGCTAACTTTGGACAAGGAATTTAAACTTTCTCAGGGTCTTTCTAATGTCTATCTAAAAATGCACCTACATGGGCTGAAGGATCAAATGAATTAATGTACGTAAAGGTAACTCAAAAGACCATGCATTGTGCTTTAATGTTCGTTTTTCTGAATTTATAAACATATATACTGTGATGAAAATAACTAATATGAAGTAAGTCTAAATGAATGCTACTAAAATATTTCCTCTCAGATAGTCACAAAAATGGTCTTTTCCTTTTGCAAACTGCAGTAAGAAGAAAAGGACTTTAGCTGTGTGACGCTAGATAAAGAGGCATAAATATAATAGAATTATAATTAATAATTTGCCTATGTTCTACCCTGGAATATCACTGACTGTATAAAACAATAACAGGGACAGAAGTCAATGCCAAACAAAGCAGGATGGGATGAGCAATGAACTGCAAACTAGGAAAGCTGGGTTTCAAGTTGGAGACTGCCAAAGGCTACTTAAATCCTAAAACCTTCCTAGGCTTTAGTTTCCCATCTAAAAAAGAAGGGGTTAGAATAAATGATTTATCATATTTTCACATACTGAGTTCATCACGTCATTTTTTTTTTTTTTTTTTACCTCCTGTGGACCATGATTTACAGGAATGTTCAGAGATAACTTCATTTTCTCCTTGTCACATAAAAGAATAGTACTTGCAGAACTCTGTAAATGAAATGAATACAGTCATGTGTCACATAATGTCCATTCAGGCAACATCCAACCGCATATACATCTGTGGCTCTGGGCGCAGGCTCTCGGGCTTTGTCCAGTGGGCAGGCAGGTGGTGGCGGGCGCTGCAGTGCCCAAGCTGCTCCTGCTCCTCAAATATGCGGAACAGCAGGCCCTCCTTGCTGGCTTGCTCTTGCTCAGCTCTGGCTGCGGCCCTCTCAGCTGCCACTGCCCGTTCCTCCAGCCTCCGCTAACAGCTCCAGCAGCAGCAGCAGCAATAGCAGCAGCGGCGACGAGGACAACTGGAAGCGGGCTCCCATAAGGTTTTAACATAATAGCTTTACTGGTTTGGTTCGTAATTATGGGTTGTACGTAAGTCGGATGTTTGTAACTCAGGGACCGTCTGTATATTAACGTGGTGTCTGCACAACGTCCAAATCATATAATGCCCTATTTCACAGAATGTATTGTGGACGTTAAGCCATGCATGATTGTACACATGTATACTTTAATTGGAGATGATCAGAAAATTAAACAAGTAAATACATTCTACTTAATCATATTGTATGTTTATATAAAATCAATGGAAAGAAAATCAAAATCAATTGAGGATATAACTTAAAGGTAGAGACAGTGTAGAACGGGAAAAAACTTTAGAGACACAGATTTTAAATTCTGCCTTATATTACTGGTTACCTTGAGCAAATTACTGATCTCTCAAAAGTCTCAGGATTTCATCTGCAAAAATGGAAAAGTATCTACTTGCATGACTGTTCTAGGGATTAAACGAGAACGTATATAATGTGTCTGTAACAAACAAGGTTTTTAAAAAACTGCAGTTTATGTGTTTGCCTATTTATCAATAATTATGACCATTTACTATATATTAGGCACTGTGCTTGTAAGCATTCTTACTATTTTCATTTTTTAGATAACAAATGGACGCAGTGTGCCTTAATGGAATGATGGGGGTCATGTGTAAGTTCTGGTTTAGAATTTCAGGATATCTAACTGTTTATTCTTGGGCAACAGACTTAATCTCAGTTTACTATCTATAAATGGGGATAATGGTAATAATACCTATTTTGCACAATTATTGTGAGGACTAAAAGCAGGGCTTTGAACCAGTTTAGTCACGGTTGATGAAGTGAAACGAACACACCCAAATTCTCAGAATTTGGGTGAACTGGAATGATAACTGTACTGGGAAAAATTATGGGTCAGGTCCTGAAATGGGAGACTTGGAAGAGGCGTTGTGCGCCCTCTCAGGAGTCTGATGTGGGAGACTGGATTATTTGCAGGACTGTGGGGCAGTTCTACTCTGCCTACAGGGTCGCTATGAGTTGGAATCCACTCGATGGCAATGGGTTTGTTTTTTTTTGTAAACTGTACATTGTATTTGTTCACAAGTGAAGATTTGGCTAAACTGATGATTTTCATTATCATATAACAAATGCAATTTAATGAAACCTGGCAAGTAATAAATTATGCTTACTTTGTCCCTAACAGACTGTTGTCACTTTTAAAACAAATTTTGATAATACTAAGAAAATTCTTCAATAATAGATCCCCCTTCAATTGTTCTTCTGATCTACAACAGCAGGATCAAATATATGAGACAACTCTGCTAGATAATTTTTATCAACTATTTTTTTGGTCTGTGCAACATGATGTGTTTGAGTGGGAGAATGAAACAATACAAATAAACAATTAAAAAACATACATTTTGGCCTCAGTTATTAATTAATAGAGGTTCTAAGGCTTATTTCAGCAATAAATCCCAGAAAAGCCCAAGTACACTAAATAAAGAAAAATGCAAGAACCCAGACATCTACTAATCCTTAAGTATTAAACTTCACAGAAATAAATGTAGATTAAAAAAAAAATCTCTGAAGACTCAGGGCACTCATAGTACACAATCAATATTCATTATTCATTTTAAACTCTCATTTGCTATATAAGAGTTATGGAAAGGTCTCTGAAATCTGATGGTGGCCATTTGAATAAAATAGAAAATCTTTTTGGTGACAAAGACAGTATTCATAGTCTCAGGTAAACTCTCCTCCCAAAACTGCACCTATATCTATGAAAAAATCTAGATAAAAACAAAATTAAACTACAAATCTCCATAGGTAGTGTTATGCACTGAATTGTGTCCCCCCAAATCATCTGTTGTAAATCCTAACCCCAATACCTGTGGTTATAATCCCATCTGGGAATGTGGTCTCTTTGTCATGTTAATAAGGCAGTATTAGCATAGGGTGTGACTTAAATCAATCTCTTCTGAGATATAAAAACAACAGATTGAGCAAGTAACCAAGCAAGCAAGCAGAGGTGGGGGAAGACAGATGCCATGCTACATGCGACTGCCAAGGAACCAAGAAACAGAAGCTGAAGAGACAAGGACCTTCCTCCAGAGCCAGCAGAGGAGGAGGAAGCCTTCCCTAGAGCTGGCACCCTGAATTTAGACCTTCAGTCTCCTAAACTGTAAAAAAACAAATGTCTATTCATTAAAGCTGCCCATTGTGGTACTTCTTTTATAGCAGCGCTAGATAACAAAGAGGAAGATAACAAAGAGGAAGGTAACTAAGAGGAAGATAAAAAGAGGAAGACCCCCAACGAGATGGACTGACACAGTGGCTGCAACAATGGGCTCAAGCATAACAATGATTGTGAGCATGGCACAGGACTGGGCAGTGTTTTGTTCTGTTGTATACAGGGTTGCTTTGAGTTGGAACGAGTTGGAACGGAGTCCGCGGCACCTAACAGATAACTAAGACAGGAAGTAATACAATTTTGTGAAGTTCTAACTTCCAGCATTTCATTCATCAACTTACCTTTGTTTTCTTCAGTTGAATAACAGCTTCAAGAAATGTTATCTCATCGTATGTCCTCAGGATTGGTTCAAGTTCTATTAAACATTCTAAACAAGGAAATAAAAATACAATTTGCATTCCGTTTGCTTCTAACCATTAAATTGAAAAATGTAAATACTAACACTGAACTGATAAGGCTCCAAGTCAATTCTTCCCCAAACATTCAACTGCCTTAAGAGCCTTTAATACTGGCATAAGAACAGACAGCTAGATCAATGGAATAGAACTGAGAGTTCAAAAATAAACCCTTACAATTATGGTCAATTGATTTTGGACAAAGGTGCCAAGGAATTCAATGGGGGGAAAGAAGAGTCTTTGCAACAGATGGTGCTAGGAAAATTGGATATCCACATGCAAATAGGTGAATCTGGACCCTTCCTTCACACTGTACATAAAAATAAACTTAAAACGGATCATGGACCTAAATGTATGAGCTAAAACTATAACATTTTTAGAAGTAAACATAGAAGAACATCTTCATGATCTTTGGTTGAGCAAAGCATCCTTAAATTTAACATCAAAACCATTATCCATAAAAGAAAAAAATTATAAACTGGACTTCAAAAAAAACAGAAAACTTTTGCTTTCAAAAGACACTATTAAGAAAAAATAAAAAGACAAGCCACAGATTGGAGAACGTATGTGCAAATCATGTATCTGCTAAAGAACTTGTATCTAGAATAAAGAACTCTGACAAATCCATAATAAGACAAGTAACCCAATTAGAAAATGGGCAAAAGATCTGAACAGACAATTCACCAAGGAAGACATAGAAATGGCTAATAAGCACATGAGAAGATGTTTAACATCATTAGTCACTAGGAAAATGCAAATTAAAATCACTTCATACCCATGAAAATGGTAACAATTAAAAAGACAATAACAACGTTGACAATAATATGGAGAAACTGAAATTCTCATACATTGCTGGTGAGAATGTAAAATGATGCAGACACTTTAGAAAACAGTTGGGCAATTTTTAAAAAAAGTTAACCAGAAATGAATGTTATATGTTCACATAAAGAACTGTATATAAATATCATCTTTTGCTGATTCTTCTTCCTCTACTCAATTTCTAACTGTTGGAATGCCTCAGAGCTCTAATCTGGGCCCTTTACTCTTTTCTATCTACACTCTCTCCCTAGGTGATCTAGCCAGGCCATGGTTTTACACACAACTTATATGCTAGTGACTCTCAATTTTCTATCTGGAGACCCAGCCTCTCCACTGAGCAACAAATTAATAAATTGCAGTAGCAATAGTAATTATGATAAAATACTCTTAGAATTACCTATTTATAGATGAGGGAACCCTGATGGCAAAATGGTTAAATGTTTGGTTGCTAACTGAAAGGTCAGTGGTTCGAACCTACCAACTGCCCCGTGGAAGAAAAGACCTGGTGATCTGTTCCTGTGAAGATTATAGTCTAGGAAACCTTATTGGGTAGTTCTGCTCTGTCCTACAGAGTTGCTATGAGTTGGAATTGACTTGACAGCACCCAACAATAACAACAGTTATAGATGATGAAATTGAGAATGTGCCAAAATTTGAACCCAGGCCATAGGACTCCAGAGTCCCTGCTGAAATGCAACCAACTATTCACCAGAAATCCCCACTTGCATATTCAACAGCCATCTCACATTTACTTTTTACAAAATGAAGCTCCTTTCCTTAACATATTCCTCTCAGTTTTCTTCATTTCAGTAAATGGTATCAACATGCTAACCTGCCCGACCCCAGACTTGATTTATCCTGTTCCTTGCTTTCCTTTATGCCCATATCTAATTGTTTCCACACTCTTTCTACCTCTGAAATATATCTTAATCCTGTCTACTTTTTCTATCTCCAATACTACCATAATTAGAAAACTTCTGCAAGAGTCCCCAAGCTGGTTCTCTTTGCTTCCCCTCTTGCCCCCTCCAACCAATTTTCCACAAAGCAGCAGGAGTGATTTCTCCTAAACCTAAATTAGATCATGTTACTTTCTGCAAAACACACTTTAATGGCGTTCCATTGCACTTGGAATAAACATTCAAGCTTCTTATGACAGTTAACAGCCTCGTCCTTATCTTTCTAATCTCACCTCAGACATTATTCCCTTCCTGGCTCACCGTATTCCAGCTGCACAGGCCTTCTCTTTGTTCCTTGAAAATACCGAACTCTTTCCTTTTTTTCCAGCCTCAGGGCCCTTGCCCTTGTTGTCTTCTCTGCCTGAAGTGCTCTTCCTCCAGCTTGTGAATGGCTGGCTCCTTTTCAAGCCTTAAATCTCAGCTCAAATGTTTGCTCCTAAGAACAGGCATTTCTTACCTCCTTAAACTACTCTATCACCTTGCTTAATTCCTTATAGCACTTCCATGATGTGTATCTTGTTTATTTTTTTCCTGTCTGCTTTCCCCACAAGAATGTGAGCTCCAGGAAGGTAGTGACTTAGATTGCTCACTACTCTGTTCCCAGCACTCAGCCCAGTACTTAGCACGTGGCAGGTGCTTAGTAATATTAGTTGAATACATGAATGGAATTATTTTTCCTATCATATGATGTCTCTTGACTTCTAGGAATTCACAATTCAGTTATTGAAGCAGTTACTATTTTACAAATACAATGAATAACCACAGTGAAAAGAATGAAAAAAAAAAAAAACAACTTGGAGCTGGTCACTGAACTTGTGTGATTTTTAAAGGAATACTTTATTCATAGTATATTAGCAATTTCTGTAATTCAAAAGGTTCATATTAAAAACATACACTCACTTAAGAAAGATGGTCTTTCATCTGGATTTTGTGCCCATCCACTTTTTATTAGAGAGATCATGAGTGCTCGGTGAGGTATATCAAATGGTAAACTTTCTTCATTAGTGTCAGGGCGATGTCCCTGTGACACACTATACATAATCTGCAAAGGATTGGTGACTTCTGTCCAAACAGAAATATTGCATTCATTAGAAATATATTATGATCCAGTATATTAAATGTATTCTAAATCAATTAAATGAAAATGAGAGAATCTTAAAATTTTAGTAATAATTCATTATGTAGCCCCCTTCCTGTAAGAGGAATATATATCCCAGCTGTTGCCATATGAGTTGCCTGCCTCCTATGGGAGGAACGTTCATCCTCAGCTCATTAATTTTGGGCTTGACCATGTGATTTACTTTGGCCAATGTGAAAACAGAAGAGCCAAGAAAGACAAACAGAACCTAGCAGAGCCAGGAAGGATCACAGCAACTCATATACAATCTGAGTGAGAAATACATGTTTACTTTGTAAGCTACTGAGATTTTGAAGTTGTTTGTTAAACAGCAAGCAAATCTATATGAACCTCAAATAAAAAAATAAACAATATTATCAAAGAATTAAAAAATGTGTTTTTTTTTTTCAATGTTTTTTGGTCTTTATAGAAGGAGCACCAATTACATTTTCATATAAACAGTTTTACAGCTGGAATAGATTTTGACAATAGTAACTCTAAGCTCTCATTTTACAGATTAAAAAAACTAAGACTCAGAGATTTTAGTGGCTTGTTCAAACAGCTAATTACTGTCAGAACAAGAATTAAAATCCAGGTTTTTCTGATCCTTAATCCGGTACACTTTCCAATACAGGCATACCTCATTTATTGTGTTTTGCTTTATTGTGCTTCGTAGATATTGCATTTTTTATAAACTGAAGTTTGGGTCAATCCTGCATCAGGCAAGTCTACTGGAGCCATTTGTCCAATAGCACGTGCTCACTTTGTGTCTCTGGGTCACAATTTGCCAAGTCTTGCAATAGTTTTTCATTATTATTATATCTGTTACGGTAATCTGTGATCAGTGATCTTTGATGTTACTATTGTAATTGTTTTGGGGCGCCACGAACAGCACCCATATAGGATGGCAAATTTAATCGATAAATGTTATGTGTTCTGACTGTTCCACTGACTGGCTGTTATCCCATCTCTCTTCCTCTCTTTGGGCTCCTCCTATTCCCTGAGACATGACAATACTGAAATTAGGCCAATTAATAACCCTACAATGGACTCTAAGTGTTCAAATGAAAGAAACAGTCACATGTCTCTCACTTTAAATCAAAAATTAGACAAGATTAAGCTTAGTGAGGAAGGCAAGTCAAACGCTGAGACAGGTCGAAAGCTAGGCCTCTTGAGCCAATAGTTAGCCAAGCTGTGAATGCAAAGGGAAAGTTCTTGAAGGAAATTAAAAGTGCTACTCCAGCGAACACACAAATGATAAGAAAGCGAAATGACCTTATTGCTGATATGGAGAAAGTTTAGTGGTCTGGATAGAAGATGAAACCAGCCACAACATTCCCTTAAGCCAAAGCCTAATCCAGAGAAAGGTCCTCACTCTCTTCAATTCTATGAAGGCTGAGAGAGGTGAGGAAGCTGCAGAAGAAAAGTCTGAAGCTAGGTGTCTCAGTCATCTAGTGCTGCTCCAACATAAACACCACAAGTGGATGGCTTTACAAAGAGAAATTTATTCTCTCACAGTCCAGTAGGCTACAAGTCCAAATTCAGGGCATCAGCTCCAGGGGAATGCTTTCTCCATTGGCTCTGAAGGAAGGTCTGTGTCATCAATTTTCCTTTTGTCTGGGAGCTTCTCTGCGCAGGAACCTCAGGTCCAAAGGACACGCTCTGCTCCTGGCGCTGCTTTCTTGGTGGTATGAGGTTCCCATGTGTCTCTGCTCACTTCTCTCTTTTATATCTCAAAAGAGATTGCATTAAGACACTGATCTTGTCAACCTCATCAGTATAACCTCATCACAGTGACAGAATTTACAACACATGAGGAGATCACATATAATCTCATCATATTTGTAGAGTTTACAACACATAAGGAAACCACATCAGATAACACAATCATACAATACTAGGAATCATGACCTAGCCAAGTTGCTACACACGTTTTTTGGGGGACACAATTCAATCCATGACACTAGGAGAGGCTGGTTCATGAGGTTTAAGGAAAGAAGCCATCTCTATAACATAAAAGTGCAAGGAGAAGCAGCAACTGCTGATGCAGAAGCTGCAGCAAGTTATCCAGAAGATCTAGCTAAGATAATTGATGAAGGTGGCTATACTAAACAAAAGATTTTCAATGCAGACGAAACCACCTTATACTGGAAGATGCCATCTAAGACTTTCATAGTTAGAAAGAAGAAGTCAATGCCTGGCTTCAAAGCTTCAAAGGATACGCTAACTTTCTTGTTAGGGGCTAATGCAGTTGGGTGACTTTAAGTTGAAGCCAATGCTCATTTACCATTCTGAAAATCTCAATTGCCCTTAAGAATTATGCTAAATATATACTGCCTATGGAAACAAGGAACAACAAAGCCTGGATGACAGCACAGTTGTTTACAACATGGTTTTCTGAATACTTTAAGCCCACTGTTGAGACCTACTGCTCAGAAAAAAAGATTCCTTTCAAAATATTATTGCTCATTGACAATACACCTAGTCACCCAAGAGTTCTGATGGAGATGTGCGAGGAGATTTATGTTTTCATGCCTGCTAACTCAACATCCATTCTGCAGCCCTTGGATCAAGGAGTAATTTCAACTTTCAAGTCTTATTATTTAAGAAACACATTTCATAAGGCTATAGCTGCTATAGATAGTGATTCCTCTGATGGATCTGGGCAAAGCAAATTGAAAACTTTCTGGAAAGGATTCACCATTCTAGATGCTATTAAGAACATTCATGATTCATGGGAGGAGGTCAAAATATCAACATTAACAGGAGTTTGGAAGAAGTTGATTCCAAACCTCATGGATGACTTTGAGGGGTTCAAGACTTCAGTGGAGGAAGTAACTGCAGATGTGGTGGAAATAGCAAGAGAACTAGAATTAAAAGTGGAGCCTGAAAATGTGACTGAATTGCTGCAATCTCATGATCAAACTTTAACAGAAAAGAAGTTGTTTCTTCTAGGTGAACAAAGTAAGTGGTTTCCTGACATGGAATCTACTCGTGAAGATGCTGTGAACACTGCTGAAATGACAACAAAGGATTTAGAATATTACACAAACTTAGTTGATAAAGCAGCAGAAGCATTTGCGAGAATTGACTCCAATTCTGAAAGAAGTTATACTGTGGGTAAAACGCTATCAAACAGCATCGCATGCTACAGAGAAATCTTTCGTGAAAGGAAGTCAATTGATGTAGCGAACTCCGTTGTTGTCTTATTGTAAGAAATTGCCACAGCCACCCCAACCTTCAGCAACCACCACCCAAATCAGTCAGCAGCCATCAACACTGAGGCAAGACTCTCCACCAGCAAAGAGATTACGTATGACTTGCTGAAGGCTCAGATGATGGTTAGCATATTTAGCAATAAAGTACTTTTTAATTAAGTTTATACTTTTTTTTTTTTTAGATCTAATGCTATTGCACACTTAATAAACTACAGTATAGTGTAAACGTAACTTTTATGTTTATGTTTGTGTGACTCGCTTTGATCTGGAACCAAACTCGCAATATCTCCGAGGTATGCCTGTATATAGTGGCTTCTCAATTGATAAACTGATGTTTTTACAGTGTGTTTTCCACAAAATAAATGGTAGGAAGATTTAAAATAAGACTAGCTTTATATAGCTCTGAGTGTGGCTGACCAACATGTTACCTGGAATGAAGAAGTCAAAGTACACTTACCTTCAAAAGGCTGTTTTCTGGATAAGACTTCCCATGTGATAACTGCATAGCTGTTTAAGATAAAAATATACACACTGTATATTATAAAGTAACAGCATAATAAACTAAAAAGGCACTGATTTTAAAAGCTTACTACGTAGATATCATTTTTGAAAGTATAAGGTATTAAAATACTGCATAAAGAATTAACAAAAACAAAATATAATGAACGCTCATGTGTGATTTTGTTTTAAATCGATTCTAATTTTAAAAATCAGGGAATAACTGTAATAAGAGTTTGAAGTTACATGGGAGGGTAACTTGTTAGGGATGATTTAACAGTCATTCTTGAACACCTAGGTAAGCTATGCCTTCTAATTACGTGATTCAATTATTCACACAAAATGACAAGTAATAAAAAAGATTACCTCATGTAGCCCGACTGTATTTACTTTTTTCTGGTCTAAGTACTATCTTTTTTGGTAATGAAACTATTCTGTCTACAATTTCATTTCAGTTGTCAGTCATCTGGTTAAGAAGCACAGATTTTATAGTTGGGATAAATGACTAAATAGAACACAGGGATTTTGCTGTACTCCCAAATTAACTATTCATTTAAAATGGGACACATAGGATTGACACATAGTCATGGAGAGTGAGGATTACAGAACAAATTCCTACCTAAATCAATGAAATAATATTCCTTCATTTTCCCTTATAGGGAATAGTGACATTGAACGTAAAGACCTAATTTATGGTTTGTCTGTTTTTATAGAATTAAATCAGCTTTCAAGAATTTTTGGTTGGAACATAGTCTTTACCTCAGAGAATATAAATATTTTGGTTCCCCTTCACCTCAGTATATCATTCGACATGAACTAAAGATATCAGGGAACTAAATATATAAAAGAACATTATTCACATGATAAAGTAAATATGAATGACACTGTAGTAGGTGTTTTAGTGCAGCCACTAAAACAAATTAGCATTATTGACTTTAATATTAAGTAATAAAAAATACAATCTCTTTGTGGACAAGGGATACACAATTTAATTAAACAAATTTTCTAGCAGAGATACACCATTCATTTCTAACTCTTCATTTTTATCAGGTTAACTATTTGTTAAAGAGAGTAAAAAGTTTTATTTTAAAGGGCTATAAAGTATGTTCCTAGTAAATGTAGCATGTCTGATTTTGTATTCACTATCATGTTAAAGAGATAAGTGGAAATCATATAGGGCGTGAATGCTCAACCCCTTAATCCTATGTATTACAGAGTACCATCTTCCTTTTCCCTGGTCAAATAACAAGCATCAAGAACCATGTAGTATGCTTATTACTGCACTGTCTGCATCTGAAACATGAAAAGCCTGATCTTACCAAATACACTGATGTGTTGTGTAAAGAATTCACCATATATAAATCTCTTTAATATACATCTACCCTGTATGTTTAATGGTTTATTTCTCTAAAAAGATGTATAGATATTAGGAATTAAAAGGTTGAATAGCATGAAAAACTTAAAGCTAAAATGTTAGGAACAACTGTTCCCTCCTCCTCCAAAAAAAAAGTCACATGGGATAAAAAACTCTTGAGTATTATCTTATAAATTGATACGACAAAGATGTGCTTTAAATGTTTTTTAAGAATGTAAGCTGCTTAAAGTAAGGCACTTTTAATTTGAAAAATATTAACCATTGTTTTGTCAAACTTATTTTTACCACACTTGAGAGAAGAATAAAAACTCTCTTAAAAATTCTGCTTGATTAATCTTGGTTTTCAGACAAGGTTAACTCTATGTGAAGGCAGCATACTGTACCTATATATATCATGCTTGACACTGGCCCTTGATTTTTGTCCAGGTTCATAGTTTTCGGGTGGCATATAGATAATCGTCCCTCCTTCAGGTGCAGATATGCTACTTCGTGATTGTGATAGGGACATCATGCGCCATTTTGATAAACCAAAATCTGCAATCTGTAAGGGAAAAGAGTAACTAATTAAATTTTCCTTTCTAAAAAAAAAATCCAAGAACTGACTGTTTTTGTGCACATTCACTGTATTTAGGTATCAGACCAGAGGCAATGTTTTATACATACATAAAAGCAAAAAAACTCATTGCTGTCGAGTCAATTCCAACTCATAGGGATCCTACAGGACAGAGCAGAACTGTACCACAGGGTTTCCAAGGCCGTAAACATTTACAGACGCAGACTGCCACATCTTTCTCCCACTGAGAGGCTGGTGGGTTTGAACTGCTAACTTTCGCAGCTGAACACTTAACCACTGTGCCATCAGGTTCCCATATATACACTATGTTATTTCTATGTATCCCATTGGTTTCTTACTAAACTGCATTCCATAGTGCTGAGACCTATAACCTTAGAAGTAATGCCTACTGACTTAAAGTTCAGCACAATATTACACATTTTAGAAAAGAAGCTAAATTTTGAAAAATTGAAGAGTATTTTGTGCCTTATATTTTGAATGAATATACACAGAGCACAGTACTTTCTGACAAGTAGCTTTATATATACCATGTGCTTTCCAAATTCACCAATACTTACAGAATTGCTTAATCTATTTAATGTCACTGGCATTGTTTACAACCAAAATTTATATATTCTTATTTATAATGCCCTGAATATATACTCTTTAAATTTTGAAATAAGTACTCTCAATATATCATCGCTCATATAATTCATTCCTACCACTAAAAGCATCATACCTGCTAGCAATAGTATAGTTAGCATATAAAGCATATTTACGTCCATAATGACAATGAATGTCTAAATAATTATCGTTGATAAACATTCTGTTCTTATAATCTATTCTGCACTTTTGATAAGCCCTTTACAGTTTTAGTTCAACTGTGAATCTTGTGCAGATGTTGTAAAATATTTTTTAAATATTTACATAAACATCTAAAAGGTTATTTGTCTTTTAAAAATGGAAGCCAATGTAAGAACAGAAACAGTACTTAATGGGTAAAGGGGTATGGGAAAGCTTTAAAGTGACTGAACTTATATTACTTAAGCTTTTACATTATAAAATCTGAAAGTGAACAGTAACACTATGAAGTTATCATGTCTATCTGGAAAACATAGTAGATCTGGAGTTCAATCATTTGATAATTCAACAGGTACTTATTGAACGCTTCTATAGGCAATATGTGCTAAAGGCACAGCAGCTAACAAAACAGACTAAATTTCTGTCTCCGTGAAACTTAAATTATAATTGGTGGAGATGGTCAATAAACAAATTAATAAATGCATATTATGTCCCATGCTGCAAAATACTATGAAGCATAAATCAAGGTACAAGGATAGAGAGGCTTAGGGTGGTTGTGGTCAGGGAAAGCCACTTTGACAAAGAGGCTGAAGGACACAGGGCCTCTTTATATTATCTTTGCAACTTCCTTGTTGTTGTTAGTTGCCATCAAATTGATTCTGACTCATAGTGACCCCATGTGACAGAACAGAATGCCCCAGAGGGTATTCTAGGCTGTAATCTTTATGGGAGCAGACAGACAGGTCTTTTTCCCACGGAGCCCCTGGGTGGGTTCAAACCACCAACCGTTCAGTTAGCAGCTGAGAGCTTAATAGTTGCACTACCAGGGTGTTAATAACCAAACTACTGAAGATAGGAATATTGAACATAGGAATTAGGGGAAATGGAAAACAGAGACATAATAAATTGGCTAGGTGGAGGAGACAACTAAAAAGTTTTAAAACTATTAAGCACAAGGATACAAACTTTTTATTTTTTTGAAGAAGGTACTACCTTAACATGAAATTCATTATCCAATAAGATATTCTGAGTTTTCAAGTCATGATGAAGTAAAGGAGGATTCATATTGTGCAAGTAATTTACTCCCAGTGCAATTTCATGCAGGATGCGAAAACGTAATGGCCAAGCAACATCAGGATACTCAGTTTTCTTTATATATATATATGAAAAGAAATAATACCAAAATTAGTGGCCAAATTTAATTACATTTCACACTTAGAAAATTAAACATTCCATGAAGAAAAATAGTATAAACTAATGTCAAAATATATACTCATTTTTACAACATACTATGAAGTTGACATTATTTAATATCTTCGAATCCTACTTCTTCACTTTTTAGCAAAAATAATTATAACTTTATAGTACTGATATTTCCTTTTAGTTTATATTGGAAATGGTAGCTACATGGTATTGGGTCTTCTTTATTCAGTTGACAGTTTTCAATTATTTTGCATCTGTACAATACCCAGACACACAAATCTGTACAATACCTATATTCACACCCACCTTCCCTGTTCTATAAAAACCAAACCCGTTGCTTTCAAGGCAATTCCGACTCATAGGGACCCTACAGGACAGAGCAGAACTGCTGCCATAGGGTTTCCAAGACTAATCTTTGTGGACGTCAACTGCCACATTTTTCTCTCACAGAACAGCATGCACATACACACACAATGTGTTTCTAGTATGTACCAAACCATTTATTCAAAATTCATATTTCAATATTTCTATTAATATAAAACTATAATTTATTGTTATAATAATCATTATACCAATTCAAGTTTATGGCCACGTTATATTTATTCACTAAACATTAATATCCCATACTTTTAATAATATATCTATATTCCATCTTGAAAAATTAGCCTTTGCTAATTTTGTTTTTGTGAAAGAGACAAAGATCATCTTTCTTTCTAAACCTATATAATACAGATCATTTAAAACATAATGTCTTCTAATTCCTGGTACCTGTAGGTGATATCCATTTGAGCTTTCTTAAAATAAATGCTTCTGAACATAGAAAGTTAATGCCGTTTCCCAGAATAAACATACTAAGAAAAATCAGACAATATGGGAAGGCTGACAATGAATCATCAGGCACCATGCCACTGGGTACATTTTTCTAAATGCTATGAAAAAAGTATGTTTCTACTGAAAGCTCAAGACTGTTCTTAAAAATTTTTTCTGCAAATAGGTCAGTTTCTAGTTCAGTAGTCAACCTGTCGGGGAGTGGTACAAAATATCTTAGATCATTTACACTGTATTTTGATTTTTTTCAACAATCTTCTATGGTGTTTTGATTTGTGTGTGTGTGTGTGTGTGTGTGTGGGTGGGTGGGTGTGGGTGTGTGGGTGTGTG